TAGACGGCATAGGCGGTCTTCCCGTGGTCGCGCAGGTCCACCCGGAGCTCGTACTGCCCTTGGGCTGTGATTTTGTGTAGATTGTCCAGCCCTGTGGAGGACAGGCAAGGGTTACAGAGGCAGCACGAGTGACCGAGGCCATTGTTTCTACTCCATCCACCCCATAGGAGCAGCAAGTTAGGCTCTCGAAAGAGGCTGGTGTCACATAAACCTGGGCTTGCGGTTTGGTCCACTCCTTACTGGCACAACACTGGGCAAAATACAGGATGTTTCTGAGCCTTGGGTAAAATTGGGTTGACATCTTTGCCCTGCCAACTTCCTAGGGCATTGTGAAGATCAAAGTGGAGGTGCCTGGGTGGCTCCGTGGATGAAGAGTAGGACTCTTGATCTCGGCTCATGGTTTGTGAGATCAAGTCCTGCATCCCGCTCTGAGCGGACAGCGCAAAGCCTGCTTGGGATTCTATCTCTCCCTCTCTCTCTGCCCCTTCTCCCCTTCTTCCTCTATCAAAATAAATAAATAAACATTTTAAAAAAGGATCAAAGGAGATAAGGTGGAGAAAGCACCTTTTCAACTCCCAAGCTTCTTGCAAGAGAGAGGCAATGGTTGCCAGCCGGACAGACATGCTGGGGCCCTGGGCACCAGAGTGCGGAACAGTGTCCTCTATGGGGAGATTGTCTGCAAGTGCGAGCTGCATGTGCAGATGGATGGACGGATGGATGGATGGACGGGTGGATGGATGATGGCATTGTGGTGTTGGTCTGGGGGAATTTCAAGAGGCCGCTCAACTGCTTATTGGCTAGATTCCCGCGGGCACACAGCTTCATCTCTCTCTCCCACGCGCAAAGTGGGGATTTTGAACCTTGCATGAGTGCCACGAGGCTCAAGGGTAGACCAGAGTTTTATTTTATTTTGTTTATTTATTTATTTTGAGAGAGAGAGAGAGAGAGAGTGTGTGTGTGTGTGAGAGAGCACGAGTGGGGGAGGGGCGGAGAGAAAGGGAGAGAGAGAAAATCCCATGCAGGCTCCACATTGTGAGCTGAGCCTGATGAAGGGCTTGATCTTATGACCGATCCTGAGATCATGACCTGAGCCAAAATCAAGAGTCAGACACTCACCTGACTGATCCACCCAGGTGCCTCAACCAGAGTTTTGTTTTTAATGACCTAGAGAATTTAACGTCTTTTCCACTGAAGATTTGCAATTCTGCGTCTACTACCACAGCCACTGCTTCCTCCTAGCTTCCTTCTCTTCCATGGGTTGCTGTTAGCACAAATGACAAGGAGGGCAGAAATGGGCAGTTGGGACACCAACATGCAGGGCTGCATTACCAAGCCAGAATTCTTCTCTGCGGTCCCCAAACCCAGCAGCGTAGGCTTTCCAGTTGCGATAGAAATCCTCACGTCCATTCTTGCGTCTCAGGAACACCTGTAACATAACCAAGGAATCAGGGTGCGCTTTAGCTATTGAAAGAAAGGGAAGGAATCTGAGAGGAAGAACATCAGACTGGGAAAAGCATCCATCCCCAGCTCTGTGCGAAACTAATTTGCTGTGTAACTCTGGGCAGGCCACCTCCACCTGAAAAACAGGGATTAAAAATACCACCTAGCTTTGGGTGATAACGATGTGTCAAGGCAGAGGTTCTAAATGCACCCTCTGGTGTAGGATGTTGCTGGTGGGGGAGGCCATGCACGTGGGGACAGGGGTATATGGGCACTCTCTTCACTCTATGCTCACTTTGGCTGTGAACCTAAAACTGCTCTGAAAAACAAAGTTTATGAATTAAAATACTACCCAGCTCGAACAGTAATGGGATTGCAAATAATTCATGTGAAACTCTTAGCACAGTGCCTGGTGGTCAGCAAATACTAATTAATCCACATGATAGGCTCCATGACCACCGTCATTCTTATGCATCACAGAGCTGTTTGAGGATCAGATGAGATAAATTACAAGAAAATTATTTTCTCGTTTTTTTTTTTTAATCCTCCATTTCTTTCCCATTCCTTTGTTTAAGAGATAGTTCCTGAGTGTCTCTGTGTGACAGGCACTGTCTTGCAAAACCTCATGCACATTTGGTGTCTGAGTGCATGGGGAGGACCTCCCCCTCCCCCCTCCCCCCACCCCTGCTGAGCCCTCTGCCCCCAAGCTCCGTGACGAGGACTCTGGAGCCTGTTTCGGTGATACTCACGATCCATCCACCCCCATCAGAGGTCATGTCACAGAAGACTTCCAGAGCCTGGGCCTTATCACCATTCAGATAAATGGTGTAGAGGCCAGAGGTCGTGTCTCCATTCAGCATTGCTTGGGAGCAGTCCCTGGGGAATGGGTACAGGAGTCCAACTGCAGGATAAGAAGGAAGAGTGGCCCTCTTAGAGAAGGAGGATTGGGTTAGGGGATTTCAAACTGCCCCTCTACTGTGTATTAGTTAGATGTCTATGAGTAAGCAACTTAACCTCTCTGCGGCTCTGTTCTCTCATGTTCAAGATAAGGATAAAACCCATTTGGTGGGGGTGCAATGAGGCTTTAGAGATTACGGATATAAGGGACCCATCTCAGTCTCTTATATTCATGGAAACCACCAATGATATCAGTGGGAGGAGAACTGAGCCCCTGTGAGGCGCGTGTATCGGGCTGACCTTGACCTACCTCAAGCAGCCAGGCAACACCTGATGAAGACCCAGGTCCTGGCCAGATGGCTGGGTCTTAGGCACCCACAGGTGGCTCACTGTGGATCAGGACACTCTATTGGGCATCTAATAATGATGCATCCCAATCTCTTCAGAGGATTTGGAAGCCAAAGAAAAGGATTCTAGTCCTGAACTTACACTTCCTTGTCTTGGGACACTGGAGAAGTCATTTAACTGCCCTGAGCCCGGGAGTCTTAGAGGGACCAAACAAGAATGTCTGGGGAATTTCCAAATGATGTGATGCAAAAAGAATAAAACTTGATAGACATGGACAATTTTGGAGCTGTGCTTAGCAGGTGGGATGGAGAACTGATGGTCACAGCAGTTCTTTTTTTCTGATCTGACCTCCTCCCTGTACTGCACCTTCACTGGAGGTTGTATCATTAGCTGTTTCCTTGTTTCTTTCCTGGCTCTGGTCTGGGAGCATCTTTAAAGCACATTCAAATTTCTGTGCTCCCAGTACCCGGCATGAGATCTGGCAAAGAGATAACTTTCAATTTTGCACCTCCCTCAGTAGATGTGTGCAGATCGACTTGTGGGGAGTGTGAAGGGCCAGAGGCAGCACCGGAATGCACTCTGTGTACCCCACATCTAGGCCTTTCCAAAGGCTGACTCCCCCCTCCCTCAGGAAGGCATGTTTCCTCTTAATTCACCAATGAAATGCCTTGCATGTTCTCTATCTGCCGAAAATAGCCAGTGTCTGCGGTGTAGGGGTGGTTCTCTGGGCCTGGAACATCTGAGCCCAGATCAGACTCTAAGTCATGCTATAGCCTTGAGCAGGTCATTTTGTGTCTGGGAGCCTCTGCTACCCCAACAGAAAACTGGGCATGATAATCCTACCGTCTTGGTGGGAGGACTGCTTTTGATTTTGAATGTGGACAGGCTTTGTAAATGCTGACATGCTGAAGGAGAGAAAAAGGGACACAGCTTACGATGAGCTTTGACCATGGACCACACCCTGGGCTAGGAGATCAAAGTCCTTATGGGGAAGGGATGCTTATTGATCCCATTGTATAGATGAAGAAACTGAGGCTTATAAAATGACAGCAACTTTCCTAAATCACACACGAGCAAGTGGTGGAGATAGGGATTGAATATAGATGTCTCCCTACTGGCCCTCTTTCCTTTTCATAATGAGGTCCTTAACTTCCTGTACCCACATCCATCAGGCTTTCAGGTAGTAGCAAGGCATTGATCCTTTTAAGGGGGTTGATGGAAAAATTTTCTCAGAGTCAGAGGAGAAGAGGAGGGTTGGTCTAGTCTCACAAAGTTTGACCTCAAGAATCAGATATACTCTGAGACTCTTACTCGTGGTAAAGATGGTCTGGACCAGCTTGCTCCTCAGGGGCCCATTCAATGCCTGGATCTTGGCTGTGTAGTGGGTGGATGGGCTCAGCTCTGCCAGGCTATAGGAGGTGGTTTCTGGACCCACAATGACTTCCTGAGGGCAGAAGAGAGAATATAATAGTTTTTGGCCACATAAATCATCAGTGTACAGATGATACATTCATTCATTCACCCATCCATTCATTTCTTCATTCAGAAGAATCCACTGAGTCTCACTCTGTGCCAGGCTCCATGCTTACTTCTGGAACATCAGAAATGGGGAGACTGAGGCATGAGAAAAGGTGCTGAAGCCAGAGGGGGTGAGCAAATGAAAATAATATGAGAAGGTAATGATTTATCTCAAACACACTTGATTTTGGGTGGTGGAGTGGTGGAAGAGGTGGGAAAAGACCAGATGCCAAAGGGCCTTAAATGCCAAGCTGTGGAAGTTGAAGTTTATCATGATAAGCTGCAGATTCCCAAAAGGGCTTTTGAACAAATGAATGATGTGAACCCAGCTTAATTTGGTAGCAAGGTGAATCACGCAAAGGGCAAAAGGTTTAGAGACCAGTTATACCAGTGGCCCCTAATATGGCACTTTTTCATCCTCCTCTGGGAAACTTTAAAATAATATAACACCTGGGCTCCATCCCAGACTGATTGCGTCATAAGAGCCAGGAGTGGGGCTCTGCCGGGTGCATATTTAAGAAGCTCCTCAGATGATTCTCATGCAGTCAGTCTGGGGATCTCTTGAGTTGGGGGATGACTGCAGTAGTTCAGTAGGCATGGCACAATGAAAGTCTGAGCTGAGCTGGCATGTCTCTTTCCCAGGACAGAACTGTCCAGGAGAGGTGTACATGTGCCTCTGCTGTCAGACGTCTCCTAACTACCCCTGTAGGTTGTGATTTTGCTTACTGGGCTGCTGTCCAGAGGATATTAATTTCAGCTTTCAAGAGATCTTCTTCCTTTTCAAATCCTCTTTCTAGCTTCCAATGCCTGAGAATTCACCTTTTAGCAGATGACTTTGGTGTCTGGAATTGAAATTCAACCTACAACCTTCAACCTACGCTTCTGGCAAACCAAACTCATCAGTGCTGTCTACAACCTGCAAACACAGCCAACAAGGTGTAGGCAATAATGAGGCAGTGTGGAGGTGCCTGGAAGGTTCTCTCGCACCGTCGCACCAGGAAGGTGAGGTTATCCTGATTCTTCCAGATGGAGGGTGGGGGCTGAATTTCAAAGGAGCTGCAAAACTTGCTCTCTCCCCACGATTTGTTGGTGGCAGAAGACAGTCTTGCATTCTGTCTCCCAACATCCTGCCCAGGACTCTTTCCTCCTTCACCAGGTTGATTTTCTTGGGTGAAACATACAAACTCAGGGATTGGACATGCAGCAAAGTAAGTCAGTAAGTGGACACTAGTGACCTGGTGACCTTTGTGTGATCCCCAGGTCTGGTCCCTGGGGAAGGATCAGGTGCAAAGCTGGGTTCATTGAATTACTTTGGCGATACAATTACCCCTCAGCTCTTCCGGCTGCTGTGCAAAGTGGCTTTCTATGCAGTCAGGGTAGATCGAAATGAGGCTCAGGACTTCAGGTAAACAAAGTCCTAGAAGGCCTGACTGGGAAGGGACTTTCAAGATTGGTGAGTCCAATGCATTCATTTCACATTATGTGAACACTGACACAAGGTGCTTATGTAAAGGACTGCCTCTATGAACACAGGGAGTTAGTTTGTTGTTATTCCAACTCAAAGAAGGTCCATGGTAGAGAATAGAAATGTGTGTTCACTTCTAGTTAAACATGGGAGATTGGATATGCCAGTTTAGTTCTATCTTCTTCTGAAACCCACTACAATGAGGGTAAAGGGATATAAAGTACAAGCCCACAAGGATGAGGTGGATGATAGAGGGGACAGATACAGGCATGCAATGTCAACAGGATCTTGACAGATGGGAAGGGGTGCCATGGAGTGACAAGTGAGGGGGCAGAGCTGAGAAAGCTGGGGCATAACTGACTAAGGGGGTGGGGCCAGTCAGAAGCAGGTTGATGAACACCACAGAGTCCAGCAAGTTCAGGAATGGAATGTGTACAAAAGCAAAGATGCCTTTGAAGACTAGTGTGGGGCATGGCTGAACAAAGGTGTGTTTAAAAGCTTAAATAAGGAATAGATGCCAAGCTCTCCAACAGTCTAGAGGACTCCAAGCTCTCCAAGCTCTCTTCAACAGTCTAGAGGACTGTCCTTCCCAGTCTAGATGAAAGGCTGAGGTTACTCTCTGGAGAGACTGAGCCAGAGAGAAGATTCTGGGTTGAAATCCACCAGGCTCCGTGGTGCTACAGTGGAAACAGAAATGAAGGTTTGTTCACATAGGAGCCCAGGCTCTTCTTCCACCTGTGCTCCTAGCAGCTTGGTTTGAAAGGGTTGGAGGAACCTCTAGAGAGATGGATTAGCTCAAGAGCAAAGGCTTATAGTACCACTATTTGTGAGTCCCCCAACAAAATGACTGGGTACTTACTTACTCACTCTATGTTGAGCCCCATAGTTGACAAGACCTGTGTATGCATTTGGGACTCCCAATAAACTGTTTCATTCTTGGCTCAAGGACAAAAGGGCCATCGGGCATTGGGTGGGAGTCTCCAACATGAAAGAAGACCCAACCGAACAACAGCAGTGGAACCGAAAGAAAGAAAGAAAAAAACTTGGAAGAGACACTATTCAGGTTGTAGAATAAAATACCAGTAACATATATTCTTAGAGATAACAAGAAAATGATGCACGGAATATAAACAATACGCTAGAAGAAGATGAATGAACAGGGAATAAGTAAAAGATCTTGGAAATGTAAAATGTGATGACCAAAATTAAAAATTCAGTAACAAGTTTAGAAAATAAAGTTTAGAGATAAAGTTCAGTTATGTGAAAGGAACAGCTAAAGTTATTTCAAATTGGAAAGTACGGGAAAAAAGAGGAGAGAATATAAATAACTGCTGTAAACAGTATTAATGGTTGATGGCATAAGAACATGGTGATGTATGTTTCAATATCTAATGGAATGATACCATCTGTGACATTGTATATAGGGCAAATATTCCGAAGAAGCCTTTGGCTTTTGCTTAATAAAATATTAAAGCACCATGAACCCAGCTCCTAAAATGTCCTCAAGTCTTGTGAGCAGTGGTTTTTGATCTTGGCGGGCTATCAAAACTGGAGTCTGGTTAAAATGAGACAGGGAGGCTGGAGAATATGATTCAGAAGGTCTGGCATGACATCCAGTCCCTATTAATTTGTTTTTTTTTTTTCTTCTCAGCTCCCTAGCTGTATTGGGGAGAAACAACCCTAGGGTAATTCTTTTCTCTTTTGAGGATCATGTACATGTTTCAAACAGCAGTAGAGAGTTCATATACTTCAAGCTACCTTGACTGTCCCATCCACAGATTCATACACCAATAGGTAACCGGTGACAGATGCCCTGGGGGGTCTCCAGGTGAGGAGAGCAGTTTCCGACTGAACGTCAGTAGCAGTCAAGTCTCTTGGAGAATCAAGGTCTGCAGAAGATAAGTCATTTATTATCAAATACGTCAGCAACTATAGGACAGAAATCCCTGGCTGGGTTATCAGGAAGCCTGGGTTCAAGTCCTTGCCCTACTGTTGACCTGTATGACCTTGGGCAGAAACTTCCCCATCAGTAAATGAGGAGGTTGAGTCATGTGGTCTCTAAAGACATAATTCTCTGTGGTTCACCTCATCCTAAGGGCCAGATTTTCCTGAGCTCTACATACCCTTGATTGGTCTTGGGTGGATTTAGGGAGAAAGACACAGCTGTGAACGTAATTACCAACCTCTCTTGCTCTTCAGTAACAGGACAGATGAATGCTGATATTGGCATTCACCTCTACTGAGAGGATGCTTCCTCTATTTCCCTGCTTGCCACAGTTTGTAAGAAGATCTCAATGTATAAAAACCCAATGGACGTCTAGGAAAACGTGCCTGAAACATCTTTCTCTTAAAAATATTTCCCTGCCTAGAACATGGATCATTAAACAGTGGGTTTGGGGCCAGTGGGGCCTGGTTTTCCACTTAAAAAGCCCTCCTTTTAAAACCATTTCCTAGTCCATGGGGAGAACAGGTCATTTCAGTTCAAAAGGAAATGGTGTGTTTCTTAAGGTCCTGACTGAGTGGGCACTGGTGAGTTTAGCTGATGCTGACATCATCACATTGCAAGGATTTGACTTAAGAAAGAAGGGTTAGAGAGCATGAGCACTGAAGATGAAGCCTGTGGGTGGGCGTCTTCCCGCTCCCAGCGTCTTTGTACCTGTTGTGAACTTGGTAGTGATGACTGAACTCTTCTGAGGCCCTTTCTCTGCAAAGATTCTCAGCACATATTCCGTGGCAGGCTCGAGGTCAGTCAGAGCATACTCCACTGTGTTCCCGGACACCATGCGTGTAATTTCTGGCACTAGACATAAAATACACACACCGAGGCAGTTACCTCTCCCTGTGTGAGCCGTCAGCACACTTGGCACATGGCACACACATCTACTTCTAGCAACAATTTTCAGTGACCCTGCAGAAAGGCAGGTTTTGATTTCTGAAATGACGCACCCTTCTCGCTCTGTATATGAGGAGTGCTCACCTCATATACAAAGGATTTATCACACGGGGACTGGATTTTTCCGGGCACCACCGAAAAGAAAGGGGACGGGGGGGTCAGGGCTTTCCACATGGTGCTGGCTGAGGCAGCTTTGCAGCTGAGGTGTGGGAACCAGCTAGAGGAGAGTTGTAGCTAATGTCCCCAAGCCTAGGGCTGCCCAGATTTAATGTGTCCCATTGCTTGCTCTCACCTCCTTTTGGCTTTCTGTCATGTCCTTTTATAATTTGACAGATGTTGTCAAATCATGAGGCTGGGGAGCCACAAAAATTGGGCAGCTGCAGACACGCCAGAGCCTGGTTACTGCTTCCCAGACCCCTTTGGGTCAAGTCCAGTGATAGATACTGAACCATGGTGCCAGGCATGTGTGTTTATTTCCGAGTCACATGTGACTGACCACCTTGGCTTGCCCGGGACTGAGAGGTTTCTCAGGGTGTGGGGCTTTTAGTGCTGAAACTGGGAAAGCCCTGGGTAAACTGGGATGAACTGGTCATCCTGTCTGTCATCCCTGAAACCCCCTTTTCTAGGCCTGCCTCAACTCGTTCCATAATCACTGTGAACTATAGTCTAATTTACTATAGGTGTGATAACCCCAGATTCCCTGACTCGGAGGAGTTTGGTCTTAGGGAATATTTAAGAATTGAAGAGATGAATGAATGAATGAATGAAGAAACAGAAGTGTAAAAAGAATAAACCCAAGAATCTCTCTTCCCTCAACCCCCAACTTGCTCTATGCTTACAAAGAACTCTCTTAGCTAGTGTCCAAGGGAGAATGAAGATTTTCAGAGGCCCCAGACACGGGTTATGGTGCCTTTCACATTGTCACTGCAAGTAAAACAATACTGAACCATAAAATATGAAAACTTCCATATGCTTTGGGATTAAGATAGGAAAATTTTTTTCTAGGGTAGCTCATTACAAAAACATGAATTCATTCACCGAAAAGAAATCTCTTTCTCCTCTCTCTTATTTGTATTTGATCTTATGTTTTGGTGGTCATGGCGTGCTGGTGCCCTGAACAAGTGTTTAGTCTTATAACTGAGCAAATGAATTAGCACAGATATCCGCAAAGACAAGGAGAAATCACTTCTGATTTGTCAATCACGCCTGTTACAACTGGCTCCCTCTGTGGCCTCTAAGAATCCCAGGTTCTCCAGCACCTCCTGAAATGGCCTGTTTATTTTAAATTTTTAAAAATTTTTCATTTAATTTTGAGAGAGAGAGACAGAGCATGAGCAGGGGCAGGGCACAGAGAGAGAGGGAGACACAGAATCCAAAGCAGGCTCCAGGCTCTGAGCTGTCGGCACAGAGCCCGACGGGGGGCTCAAACCCAGGAGCCGTGAGATCATGACCTGAGCCAAAGTCAGACGCTTAACTGACTGAGCCACCCAGGCGTCCCTGAAATGGCCTGTTTAAGACTCAAGATTTTGAACTCATTCTTTGTAAGAGATGACAACTGCTGCTTAGAGAGGAAGTCTCACAGTGACAGGCAGGGACACTAGCAGGGGAGGAGGGACAGGCTGGGGAGACACATGCAGGCTGGAGATGTGCTCTTTGTTTTCCTTGAAATTACCTCCTGGCCTTCCTTGGTATAACCACAACACTGATGCTCTTTATTCGTCAGCAAGCACATGAGGATGGGTAAGGCCTCCCTTGCCCCCACCCTGGCCAGGCCCTCCACACCCACCCATCCAGCCCCATCCTTCGGCCCATGAGTCTATTCTGAGGTTGACAGCCGCAAGGACGTCTCTGGCCTTCCAGCTTACCCGTGTAGTTTTGCCATCCTGGACCAAAGGTGACGGGGAAGAGGTAGAACAGGACAGACACTCCTCCTGGTGGGGAGGGTCTCAGACATGACCTTACCTCTCTCCCCTGTGTAGGAGATGACGTAACTGTCCACAGGGGCAATGGCTGGCTGCCACATGGCCAAGGCTTCTGAGTCAGTGATGTTGGCTGTCACCAGGCCAGATGGGCCATCCAGGGCTGCAAAGAGAGGTGACTATATGTTGGAGAGATAGGCAGTCATGGGGTAGGACATCAGACACAGCTGCTCTGCAGTCTCCCTGCTCCCAGACTCCTGGTGTTGGGGTTGGGACACAGTGTCTGTTGTGTGGACAGTTCCGAGTCCTGAGTCTGGAGCCAGGACCACCTTGGTTGGAGTCATGATTCCTTCCCTTGCTGGTTAGGTAATCTTGGGTCTCTACTTCCCTACTTGTAAAATGGGGATACTGATTCTGTCTGGCTTGATCCTCAGTGTTATTTTGATGCTCACATGATATCGGAGGTGAAAAGGAGCTATATAAACTGTAAAGGGCTGGGCACATGATGAGGGTTATCATTATCGTTCATATCACTTGTTACAAAAACAGGGGGCATA